ACTGTAACTTATTTCCATTTTTTCCCATTCTACTAATGTTCACTTTGTGCCCAATTTTGTATTTTTCTTCTTAAAAGTTGTGTACTTTGGGCACACAGAAACCTGACTCTACCATGTGACCAAATGACCAAGCTCAATTTCTGTCCAGCTTTTTGTGTCTCCTAAGAAATGCCAGAGCTGAAGGGAGCTGGAAGGCTGAATAGTCAGAACTGCAAGTGGTGGGAATTTGGGATGGATTTGAAATACTAAAAATTACATTAAAGTTGTCTGTGAAAGAAAGAATTCAGACCGACCCACCACCCAACTACAGTGTCTTTAGTGTGGGAAAAGGCTAGGACCACAGAACCCCTGCACAGCCTGTACCTACCTCTCCCTGGGGGTCTGGCCCTCATGTTGACTCTTCATATCTGGTATCCCTTTTCATACACACTAAGAGTGGGTGCTGGGCAGTGACATCACAACTTGACTATTATGATGTAATAAGGAGGCATGCTCCAACTCAGGCTTCCCTAATAGGTCTGTTGTCTCATTACACTATGGTTAATTCCGTTATTTTATCATTCGGATGTGTGGGAACCAATTCTGTTAAAACCTGATCCTTTCCAAGGACTTCTTCCCTTTATAATTTATTTCTGTCCATCCACTTTGGATTAGAAGTCCTTGCTTTTCATCATTATATTGTTTGCTTTAGGGTTGCCTTTGATAAGCACAGGACTTCAATTTTCCGCCTGTGGAAGGATCAGAGCATAACTTAGAAACAACGAAGAATCCTGACCTAAAAGGAAATAGCTTTTCCCAAGCTATTCCCTTTAACTGAACCAACAGCTAGTGCTGGATCCCAGAGAGAGTTTGGCCCTCCGAACTCTCCCACTATCTAAAATGATAAAAAGATCTTATTGGGGTGTCAGGGTTGCCTACCCTTCTGTACCTCCTTCTCACCCAACTTTTACACAAAGAACTCCAGTAGAAAGTGTTGGCATGATAGCTTGGGTAAAGGTGCTGTGTTGGATAGTTTTCATGTCAACTTCACACATGCTGATATCAGCTGAGAGGAGGGAACCTCAGAAAATGCCTCCAAAAGACAGGGTTGTAAGCAAGCCTGTAAGGCATTCTCTTAATTAGTGATTGATGGGGGAGGGCCCAGCTCATGGTGGGTGGTGTCATCCCCGGGCTGGTGGTCCCGGGTTCTATAAGAAAGCAGGTTGATCAAGCCATGAAAGCAAGCCAGTAAGCAGCTCCCCTCCATGGCCTCTGTATCAGCTCCTGCCTCCAGGTTCCTGCCCTGTTTGAGTTCCTGTCCTGACTTCCTTCAGTGATGAACAGTGCTGTGGAAATGTAAGGCCTCTCCTCCCCAACTTGCAGCGTAGAAACCCTGACTAGGACTGGTACCTGTGGCAAAGCCTAAGGATCTGAGTTCTATCCCCGGGACCCACACAGTGAAAGGGAAAAAAAAAAAAAAAAAAAACTGTCTCCAAGATTACCCTCTGACCTCCTCGAGTGCCCTCCCAATAAATAAATAAAAATTATTAAGGAATAGCTAGGTATGGTGGTTCAAACCTGTCATCCCAGATGAGGCAGGATTATGAGTTCAAGGTCAGCCTTGGGTTACATAGGACCTGGCCAGCCAGCGCTCCATAGCAAGACTCTCAGAAAAAGTAAAGGGAAACAGGAAATGAGGTGGGGAAGGGAACCTTGCTCTCAGCTCTTGCCACCAGGCACCAAAAAGAATACTTCCAAATAGCTTTCTCCCTGATATTTTAACTTTATTTCAGATATGGTTTTATACCAGAAGAGAGGGCAGCTGCATGAGGGATCTGAAGTGAAGCTTCCGGCTGGCACAGTGCACGGCGCTGCACTGGGGGGCTGGAGAACAGTCTGGGGAGGTTCACAGAACAAACTTGCTTTTTCTCCACATTAGCTGCCCAGTGCTGTAGTACCCAGGCTATCTATTTACAAAGATTAATGCCATTACCATTGTCACCCAAGGAAGCTCAAGGCTGGCGATAGAGACCTTACCAGTTCCTGGAGAGGGAAGGAGGGGATGTCAAGAAGTAATCTCTTGTTTTTGAGACAGAGTCTATGTCGCCCTAGCTGTCCTGAAATTATGTGGACAAGGCTGGCCTCAAAACTCATAGAGAGCCGGGCGGTGGTGGCGCACGCCTTTAATCCCAGCACTCGGGAGGCAGAGCCAGGCGGATCTCTGTGAGTTCGAGGCCAGCCTGGTCTCCAAAGTGAGTTCCAGGAAAGGCGCAAAGCTACACAGAGAAACCCTGTCTCGAAAAACCAAAAAAAAAAAAAAAAAAAAACTCATAGAGATCCACCTGCTTCTACCTCCCCAGTGTTGGATTAAAAGCACCTACCCCCCCCCCCCCAGCGTCCTCTCCCGCTGCTCCCCCAACCCCAAGATAGGGTTTCTCTATTTAACAGCCTTGGTTGTCTGGAACTCACTCTGTACACCAGGCTAGCCTCGAACTCACAGAGAACCACCTGCCTCTGGGATTAAAGTTGTGTGTGCCACCAAGCCCAGCTAAGCAACCTTTTGCCCTAACAGTCAAGGGTGAGTAGTGAGATACGGTGGTCAGGAGATCTGACCAAGGGTTAAGTCCTGTCTCTGAAGCACACTGACAAATTATGACAACCGCTGCTCACTTCTCACTTCGGGATCTGTGTTTTCTGTGAAGGAACCTGAGCCCAAGGAGCTCTGGAGACAGGCCTTTCACATTTCTGACGGTGTGTTACTGCCAAGCGTCCAGAGGAGCTCTCAACAAATACAAGCAAGAAGCAAAAATGTAGGCGTTAAGTTGGAGGTTGAAGAGGTAGGGCTAATCATGAAAGAAATTTTCTTTTTTTTCTTTTTCTTTTTTTTTTAAAGATTTATTTATTTATTATGTTTACAGTATTCTGCCTGCATGTATGCCTGCAAGTCAGAAGAGGGCACCAGATCTCATTATAGATGGTTGTGAGCCACCATGTGGTTGCTGGGAACCGAACTCAGGACCTCTGGAAGAACAGTCAGTGCTCTTAACCTCTGAGCCATCTCTCCAGCCCCAGGTAATTTTCTTAAAAAGAAGTTTGGTGTGGCTGCATTTCTGCTGAGCTACTCCTGGCCTGGCTCCAGAGAGCAGCACCTAGCCCTAACCCATCCTTTGTCACCCTATGTGAATCTTGTCTCAGAGTCTCCCAGGGGTACAAAGGCCTATGCAAAACTTGGTTCAGGAAACCCGGAAAACAGTGGTACCTGATGAATCGAGGAATTGGCACTTGGCATTATATTTTGGGGAGCTCCTTTCAGGTTGTTTTGAGCTTATGAAAATCAACTTGCTAAAGTGTAAATATTGAGAAAAATAAAAATGCCCTGGGCGAAGGGAAAGTGCTTCAGTCCTTAGAGGCTGGATCCCCCTGCAGCCCAGAAAGGCTAAATTCATCCTTAAGGTGCCTCTGAGTCCGTGTGGATCCGTGTGAACCCACACACAGTTTGGCATCGTAGCACAGCAATTACAAGTTTGAGACCAGGCTGGGCTAAGCGGTAGGACCACATTTCAAGTCAAAACATTAAAAAGAGGGAGATGGGAGAATGAAGGGCCGGGAGGAGAGCTGCAAGACAGGTAGGTGTAGGTGCTTTCTGACATCTAGTGGAAGGCCAAGGGTGTTTGTGCTGCAACTCCTCAAGGACAGTCGTGTTCTCCCGTGGCACTTTCCAGTGTATGGGAACCACAGAGAAAGTCTCCACCACAGGCCTGATGCGGGACTCCTAAAATCTGAGTAAGCAATGAACAACTGCCATTTCCCATGTCTGGCTGGACTAAGGCAGCAAGGGGGTGGGAGCTGACGGCTGCAGCTCTCCCCGGGCGTACTCTTCTTTGCTTATGCACTGTAAGAAATGTGGGGTGAATCTCGGAAAGAACAGTGTGAGGAAAGAAAGGGAGTCTCACTTTTTTTTTGATAGGTGGTAGGATTTATGATTCTGCTACACTAGCCCAGTAGAAGGTAAGGAAAGGCCAGAGACAGGGAGAATCTTGAACTCATGTACCAGGAAAGCAGCCATCAGGACGACAAATATCTTCTGGGAATCTCAAAAGGACTAGGCACACAAGTAACACTCAAGACAGTACATAATAGGTCCATTTCCTGCTTTACAAGGTTTGTGGTACACCGTCAGCTTTGTTAGTCCAGGGTTCCAAGAACGAGGCACCTCCTATTTGGGTGTAAAAGGAGGTGTAGCTCAGTCCAGGTCTATCCAGCCTTGGGGACTAGAGAAAAGTACCAGCTTATCCTCAAGTGCTGTAGCAGCTCAGTAAAGAACCAGAAGATGCTGGGTGGGGGCGGCGGGGGCAGCAGCACTTGACTTCAATCCCAGCACTCAGGAGACAGAGGCAGGTTAGATCCTTTTGAGTTCAAGGCCAGCCTAGTCTACAGAGCGAGTTCCAGGACAGCCAGGGCTACACAGAAAAAGCCTGCCTCAAAAAAACAAAACAAAAAACAAACAAAAAAAAAAAAAAAAACCTAGAAGATCCTGTTCTTCCATATACAATGGGCTCCATATCATTCTATATAGAACGAGCCATGGTACCTCTTACAGAGAAAGCTCAGGAAACAGGATGTCCTGTTCCAAGCTCTCATTTACCTAATTGGTAATACCAGGAATCCTAGAGAGGAAGCCTAGCAAAGACTACCTAGCAGTTGTCCTAAGTGGGGAACCTTTCTCAAGGAACATCAAAGAATTTACATGGTCAAGGATAATGGAGGGGGAGGGGAGGGGGAGGGGGAGGGGGCCACCAGATGGTATGGAGGGTTGGCCAGAGCCAGGAGAGAACCGCACTGTAGGCAAAGCAGGCATTAAAGCAGGTTCCCAGGTTCTCTAGCAGACAGATGGGCTAGTGCCCTGATGACCCTGCAGAGCTGGAATGCTGGCACAGGTGACAGCGAGATAAAGGTCTGGGGCCCTTGGAGGACAGGAAGGCCCAGCATAATGAAGAACAATGGTCCTTCCCTATAACAGATGATATATAGCAAAGTTTTTAATTTTGTTCTCCAAGGAAGAAAAAATACATACCACCATGGTTACACACACAGACTGTGGGAACTTCCTGGGTTCACAATCCTGCACTCCTGAACAAATTACTGAGCCTAGGCTTATTTCTAAAACAGGGATAATAATGCTCAAGTCACAGTGCTATTTTAAACATGCATGTAAAACACATTTAGCACACAAAAGTTAAATGGGAGCTGTTACTATTGTTAATATGACGTAACAGTAACACACACACACACACACACACACATTAGGAATGATGTCATAACAACTGAACCTAGACTAGAGAGTGCACGGTTCACTGGTGTCCAGACAGCGCCTCCCTTTACTTTGCTGAATCTGAAGGTGATCCACAGGATGCATCAAACTGTCTTCTGCACCAGGTAAGATGATGCTCGGATGTTCATTTGTTTGGGGAATGCCTGGAGGGGCAAAGGAGCAAGCCCCAAACTGAATTCTGAATGTATGTGTGGGTACCTGTCAGAGAAGAGGTGGAGTGAGAAGGTGTTCTTTTGAGAAACTGGCTATGGGAAGGGATGGGGGAGGTCCTTGTTCAACTGTAACATTAGGAACATCCTTTCCCCTATAAAGAACTGTCAAAGGGGTGCTGGAGAGATGGCTCAGCGGTTAAGAGCACTGGTTGTTCTTCCAGAGGTCCTGAGTTCAATTCCTAGCATCCACAACCATCCGTAATGAGATCTGGTGCCCTCTTCTGGCATGCAAGCATGCATGTAGGCAGAACACTGTATACATAATAAATAAATTAAAAAAAAAAAAAGAACTGTCAAGGAGGCATCTGTAGATGGTGGATCAACTATGGCCTTCAAGAAAAGGAGCTATAATCCCCATCCCCTCTCAAGGGAAAGGGGATGTCCCACAGAGACCAGCAAGGATGCAGGGAGGAAATAAAGGCAAATCAATGCCCTACCTGTTCAAAAAAACAGGTGAGGGGGCTGGAGAGATGACTCAGAGGTCCAGAGCTCTAGCCAGGGGTCCTGAGTTCAATTCCCAGCAACCACGTGGTGGCTCACAACCATCTGCAATGAGATCTGGTGCCCTCTTATGGCTTGCAAACATGCATGCCGGCAGAACACTGTATACATAATAAATAAATCTTTAAAAAGAAACAAGTGAGGGAAGGGAGAAAGACAAGGAAAGGAGAAACAACCAGCAAAAACGTAGCGCCTCCCTAGGAAGGACATGAGGTGCGAATGTGGATGGGTATTACATTAGACTCCAGGTTTTCCATTTCAACGGCCCAGGATAGGGATCAAACTATCACCTTCTGGTGCCATTCTTGTTTTCCATTTCTTTTTTTTTTTTTTTTTTTTTTTGGTTTTTCGAGACAGGGTTTCTCTGTGTAGCTTTGCGCCTTTTCCTGGAACTCGCTTTGGAGACCAGGCTGGCCTCGAACTCACAGAGATCCGCCTGGCTCTGCCTCCCGAGTGCTGGGATTAAAGGCGTGCGCCACCACCGCCCGGCTTGTTTTCCATTTCTTATACCCATAACCTCCAGGGTTCTAACACTGTTTCATTCTGGGGTTCCCATGCATCACTTTCCCTAACAACAATACTCTTCTCCGTTTTCTCAGGGGACCCAGACTGGAAGTCTGTGGAGGTAAAAACAAGTACCAGATGGCACAGGATGAGCTATGGCTTGGAAGCTGTGGAATGCACTGTGGCTACGGGCTGGTTATGCTTCCTGTGTCCTGGATCATCTGTGCGCCCCTCCCAAAACAAACAAACAAACAAACAAAACGAGAGGAACTACCTCACCCCCAACCACAGGCTCACTGGGCTAGGTAAGCCTTGTTTCCTCTTTTAATTTTCTGAGACAGTCTCAGGTAGCCCGAGATAGCCTGGTAGTCAATCCTATTACCTGGCTGGCCTCAAACACAAACAGCCACTACCCCTGGCTTGCTGTGTGGGCTTTCACCGTGGCACTAGGTTGGAGAAAAGTTTCTAACCTATACTGTGCCACGAACAGATCATAAAACACCAAAAGGTAGCCCTAAGGGCACAGTGGCTCATACCAATAACCCCAGCACAGCAGAGGCTACAGGAGGGCTGAGAGCCAGAGCCAGCCTAGGCTACAGACCTTTTCCAAAAAAAAAAAGGTAGCCTTAGGGAGCCACCTAACTCAAATCCAGTTTCTCACAGAGGAAACAGGAGCCCCCCCCCCCAAAAAAAAAACCCTGCTCAATCATACAGACACTCGGTGGTTTCCTCTTTTTCAGAGGCGCAAAGAATCAATCAGGAGTGATTTTCATGGTTCACTGTCCCTTGACAAACAGTCCATAAAGTGCTTCAAGGTTTTAAGAAGGCACCCAGAAAAGTAAGGCTGGCATTCATCTTTCTGGAAGCCTGACTATGCAAACCCCTTCGATGCCCCATTATTTGGCTATTATAAGGGCAGGCCCGGAGCTAGTTTTGCCACCATCTATATTCCTAACGAGGCTTGTCCGGTGGCTGACAGACTCTCTCCCACTGTGCCTTGAAGACTGAAGCCACAAACGGCTGAGAGTCAAGGGAATCCTGTCATACTGCCAGGGCCCAGGGGCCAATGGTCAAATTCCTGGGGTTAAGCAAGGCAATTTCGGCTCAGATAAAGCTAGGATGGGAAGGACATGGGGACCTGAGGTGGTAAGGCCAGTAAGAGGGAAGCAATCCGAATGACTTCACTGGGCTGGACTTCAGACATCAAGGTTGCTCAATCCATAAATAATGCTTCCTAGCCCAAGGAGGCCTAACTTTCCAGAGCCTGGGACTCCTTTCTCGAATTCCTTGAGTTCCTTCCACTTACACCCAGCTGATGTTCTCCACCCTAAAGTCTCTGAGCCTCGCAGATGGTTTCCAGCCACCTCTGCTTGACTCTCGGGGACGGCTCTCCACCCATCTGCCAATCGTGGTTCCCGGGTTCCTGATGCCACAGCCTCCCCCCACGCCTGGGTGCCTCTGTTTGTTTTTTTTTTGTTTTGGTTTTGTTTTGTTTTTGTTTTTTCCCTGCTGTGGCCGGCAGGAGCCCAGTCTCAAATAAAATGGATCCAGCCCTGGGGCTCGGCGACTCCGGCACCACCCGGGTGCTCGGGCCCAAGCAGCGCGTAGTCACGGCCGCCGTTGTTGTCCCAGAACTCGCGGCCGGTCACACGGTAGCGGAGGGCGAAAAGCAGCGCGCCGCCGACCGGAGGCGCCGGCAGGCGGAAGGAGAAGCGGTCAGCCCGCGGTGGGGCCGGGGCCGGGCCGGCGTAGGCGGCGGGCGACTCCCGCAGGCTGCGCCAGCCGTCCGCACTCCAGCGCACGCTCACGCGCTTCTCGTAGGCCAGGTCCAGCACGCGCGCGCTCCCGGCCACGCCCAGAGGGCCGGCGTCGGCGCGCTCCAGGCAGATGCGCTGCGCCTGCAGCCGGGCGGCGAAGCCGGGCTCGCGGGCGGGCTCCAGGGCGGCGCGCGCCTCCTAGGGAGAGAGGGCAGGGAGGCAGGTCAGGCAGGGTAGGACTTGGAGAGCTCAGGCCGAGGTCCCGGGGGACCGGAGACGGGGCACAGCGGGGCGCCTACCTGGAGGCCGCGGGTGCGCGGCGGGCACGGCGCGAAGTGGCGCAGGGCGTCCCTCTGCAGTTGCACCTGCACGTGGCGGGGCACCCGGGGCGGTTCCCCCGGGCGGAAGCGGCGGACCACGGCCAGCTCCAGCCCCAGCGCATCGGCGAAACGCACTCTCTTGCGGGTGTCAGGGCTGCGGCTGCGGGCTGGCCGTGCCCCGCCGCCACCTGCGGGCGCGGAGCGGGCCCTACGCCCCCGACCCGGAACGTGAGCCCGGGAGCGGGCACCGGGCCGGGTCCCGCCCTCCCCCGGCTCCTCCTCCGGCTCCTCCTCGAGGCTGGGCCGCTGGCTGCGGTAGTAGGCGCGCTCGGTCAGTGCTGCTATAAAGCTCAGGTTGCGAGGGATGTCGGTGCGCGGAGGCCGCTCGCAGGACATGGCACCCGTGCGCCCCAGCGGGGTCAGCGCGCAGTGCCCGGCGCGTCCTCGCTCTCCCGCCTGCTCTGCGTCCGCGCATAAGGTGTAGGGCTGCTTCGGCAGCTGCTGGCCGTGGACTTTCCTTGCTGTCACCCCGCGTACTTGGCCTGGCCGGTTTCCTTGACCACCTTTCCCTCCCTTTGGCGGTCAGCCCCAGTGTCTTAGACCATCCGGCCTGCCTGCTTCCAGCTGTCTGCTCTGAGCGTGCGCTCAACGGCGCTCACTCTTCGGTTCTGCGGGCCTCGCTGACCCGGCCCCCGCCCACAGCCCTCTGACAGGTGCCTCGGTATCTGTCTTCACTGCTGCACCAGGGAGCGGGACCGACTCCACCCTTGGGTCCCAAATGAGTTACTCCAGTATGAGAAGGGTTAAAGCGGGGAGGAAAGAGTAGTCTTTCGTTTTCTTGCACGGCAAAGTTCAAAATGCCGAGGGATTAACTCTCCCCAGAGCTCCGTGTTTTCTTAAACCCAGGCTACAGGTTTGGAATAGGGGTGATGATGGGTGCAGAGAAAGGAAGGTCACGAATCCTAGGTAGAGTCTTTCAGGTAGAAAACGCCAAAGGATGAGCGATAGACACAGGATTGGCTATTTTCCAGTTTCATTTTTGAAAAATATACTAGTGACAATTTTACAATGGTATGTAACATGTTTCTAACTTCTCTACTGATGTGTTTTTTCAAAGATTTGTTTCATTTTTAAAATTATGTGTATGGTATCAGGGTTTATGTGTACAGGAGGGCAGGTGCGCACAGGGGCCGGAAGGGGACATCAGATACGGTGGAGCTGGAGTTACAGGTAGATGGGAGCCGCTAGAACTGGGTGCTGAGAATCCACTAGGGTCCTCTGGAAGAGTGGCATGTGTTCTTAACTGCTGAGCCATCTCTCCGGCTCTCTACAGAGGTTTCTAGTACAAACCATAGGCATTGTTACAGTATTTACAGTAATGGTTACAAATACTACAGATGAGAAAATTGAGAGAGGAAGGGAAAGGATCTTTGCCCAGTGTCACATAGTTACTAATTGTAGGGTTAGGATAAGACCTCGGCAGCTAAACTCTAGTGTGCACTCTCTTAATCATTTAGTTGTTATACAGCATTAAAACAGCTAATGAGCCGGGCGGTGGTGGCGCACGCCTTTAATCCCAGCACTCGGGAGGCAGAGCCAGGCGGATCTCTGTGAGTTCGAGGCCAGCCTGGTCTACAGAGTGAGATCCAGGAAAGGCGCAAAGCTACACAGAGAAACCCTGTCTCGAAAAACCAAAAAAAAAAAAAACAGCTAATGATAATACTAGTATTTTCATTAAATAATAATGTTAATATCTAATAAAAAAGTGGAAGTTATGGGGCTAGAAAAATGGCTCAGCGCAAAGAGCATGCCCTGCTCCGGGGATCTGATGCCCTCTTCTGGCCTCCAAGGGCACCTGCACTCACAGAAGCACAGCCCCTACATAAACATAATATATAATTATGTATAAGCACATAATTAAAATTTTTTAAATAAGGTGGGCAGTGGTGGTGCACGCCTTTAATCCCAGCACTCGGGAGGCAGAGGCAGGTGGATCTCTGTGAGTTCGAGGCCAGCCTGGTCTACAGAGTGAGATCCAGGACAGGCTCCAAAGCTACACAGAGAAACCCTGTCTTGAAAAACAAACAAACAAAAAAAATTTAAATAAAATGGGCTGGGCATGGTGATGCACACCTTTAATCCCAGCGCTGGGGAGGTGGAGACAGGAGAATCTCTGTGAGTTAGAGGCCAGCCTGGTCTACAAAATGAGTTCCAGGACAGGCAGGGCTGTTACACAGAGAAACCATGTCTCAAAAAACAAAAACAAAAAAAGAAGAAAGAAAGAACCATAAGTAAATAATAAATAATAAAATGAGACAAGGAATGGTGATGCATATGCACACCTTTGATCCCAGCACTCAGGAAGCAGAGGCAAGTAGATCTCTGTGAGTTCAAGGCCAGCCTGGTCTACAGAGTGAGTTCTAGGGCAGCCAGAGCTATATAATAAGACCTGCCTCAAAAACAGATAAATTAAATAAGTAAATAAATATTGGGCCATGGCTGGTGGTGCGTGCTTTTAATCTCAGCACTCAGAAGGCAGAGGCAGGTGAATTCAAAGCCAGTGTAGTCCACATAGTGAGTTCAAGACAGCCATGACTATGTAGAGAGACCCTGTCTCCAGAAAAAAAAAAAAGAAGAAAATATTAGGGTAAAAAAATGAAATCTCTAAATTCATTTCCTTACTTGTGGTGCTGGGGTTTGAACCCAGGGCCTCGTGTATGCTGGGTATATACTCTACCACTGAGCTCATGAAGTCTCTAGATTGACAGCAGGATGGTTCAACAAAACAAAACACAAGTGACTCCATTGGAAATAAACAGACATATGCCATCTTACACAGTACATCTCTGGGTGGGTTCTCACAGCAGCAGCAACCATAGCAATACCAGCTAGGACTCATTTTAAAAACCATACTGAGTTTTTGTTTCTTATTTCACACATAAAATGCATGGACAGACTCTGTGACTTAAGGTGTAGAGTAATTGTCCGCTCATTAATGTTACAGTCAGGCAGTTTAAAGGGATCCTCCGCAGTCTGGTGGGACAGCATGTCACTGACGTAAAACCAAGGAGGTTCCTGGATAGTTACGGTCTGGAGTTTTTGGCAAAGGCTCTGCTGTCTCGTTTACAGCTCGCACTGTCATGCTTTGGCTTTGCAGTGTGGGGCTGGGAAGGTTCCTGAGGGACACGACATTGGACTAGATGTAAACTGCTGTTTGACAACTCCGTTCTGAGTGCTCACACTGACACTGAACCTTTGTTCCAAGTCAGTCTTTAGTTCTTGAACAACAACTGCAATAATCTTTAAACGTCTGTCTGGAACTGCTCAGAGACTGGCCAGAGGTGTCAAAATTGATTCATTTAGTCAATATTGACTGTTGATGTATTTAAACATGAAGACACAAATCTGAATAAACCACAGCCCTGGCTGTCAAAGAGCTTAAAAATAAAAGGTCAGACAGAAATATATTAGGGTCTCTTAAGGTCAGTAATAAAAACATATTCAGTGTGGGGTGTACTCCTGTAATCCCTGCATTAATCAAGAGGTTCAGGTAGAGGGTTCATCAGGGTCATCTTCATCTACACAGTGAGTTCAAGGCCAGCCTGAACTACACGAGACCCCATTGCAGATCACAACCCCAAAGTATATTTTTTTCAGGTAAATGTCTTAGAATAAACCATATTGCAAATGAAAGCCTTAAATTAGATCTGTCTCTAAAAATCAATGGGGGTGTGTGTGTCTTGCTGGTGGCATCTAGAATGATTGATCAGTCCAAGAACAAAGAAGGATTTAACTATGAAAGAGTGGACTATGTATGTTCAGGGTCAGAGAACTGAAAAAGAACTCAGAATTGCCATGGATTCTAACTATAAGAACAACACTGACTGCCAAAGGGGAGAAGAGGTCATCTTGAGACAATACACTGTCAAAGTCCAAACTTACGGCTCAGACTGATTTAAATTTAAGTCTTAGCTTCTCTCCTTAGTGTCTAGATTTGGGCAAATGACAACCTTTCCAGGCCTCGGTTTCCTTTTTCATGGAATAAAGATGAAGTAACCTAAGGAATGATGTGAGAACAAAAATTATACATGTAAAGAAAGTACGGTGGCTCACCTGCAATGTCACTAATCCAGAAAGCTGGCATAGATAGAGATTGTGGGTTCAAGGTCAGACTCACCTACTAAGCACACACACACACACACACACACACACACACACATGAATTTCCACAATGTGTTGTTACTATCATCACCGTGGCTTCTCTGGTGAGCACACAAAGACTGTCTGAAAAATCTGTGATGGGAATGGACAGCCCAAATGATCCAATGTTTCAGAGCACCTCTGTTGCAGTTTCCTCTGAGTTCTGCATCCAGAACAGCCTTAAGGCTGCTGGCTGAGATGGTCCAGCCTCATAGACTACTCCAACCAAGACTTAACCATTATCTTAAATTTTCTCAGGGTCCCCCAAAGGTTACCAGCACCCCCAATCAATAGGAAGTAGTCTAGAGAACTACACCCACATTCCCAAAAGATGCATTATTATTGTTTAAGGGGGGTTGGTTACAAGTTGTTATTGGTAATGGTCAGGAAAAAAGCTAAAGGAAGGAGATTAGATTCAGGGACGTTGTTCTGAAAAGAAAAAGGGAGATATAGAAATGATAAGGATAAATGGTGGCACATGCCTTTAATCCCAGCACTCAGGAGGCAGAGCCAGGAGGATCCCTGTGAGTCCAAGGCCAGCCTGGACAGTGAGATCTAGGACAGGCACCAAAACTACCAGAGAAACCCTGTCTCAGAAAAAAAAAGAAATATAGATTAATAGTCATTCATAATAGCAAACTTACAGTCATGTTAGTTAGGTTTTCAAGGTCATATAGAGATGTATTTCAGATAGATAGGCAATCTTTGAACCCTCCAAAGACCTACAGAATTATGGCATTTAAAAAGGTTTAATAACTTAGACTTTTCTAGACAGTGAGACACATCTGCTCCTGGCAGCAACAATTACTTCAAAGAGGATGATGGACATTGAAGAAACTCCATATGGAGTTTGTTTTCTTTATGACAAAAGCTAGCCATGTGGACAAAGAAACTGCCCTTGCCTCAACTGCTGGCAGTTACTGTCCAAACTGGACCAGCAGGATGCAAAAAACAGGTGATTGCTGAACTTTGCCAAGACAAGGTAGAACAGTCCTTCACAATTCCCTGCTTCACAGGAAAGTCTGTCAGATATGCTAGGCCTGTAGGTCAAAGATGGATGTCCCAATGTTGCAGAGAAACTTTGGGTGACTGTCTAGGCAGCTTGATGTCCCTGTCATTAGGTGACATTTCATCCTTCTGGAGTCTTTGATGGAGTAAATAGTTTTTGGTTTTTTGGTGTTTTGTTTTGAGACAGGGTTTCTCTGTGTAGCTTTGGAGCCTGTCCAGGAACTCACTCTGTAAACCAGGCTGGCCTTGAACTCACAGAGATCTGCCTGCCTCTGCCTTTTGAGTGTTGGGATTAAAGGTGTGCACCACTGCCCGGCTTGAAGACTAGATAGTTATAGTTTTCTTTAGTTATGATAAAAGATAAGTTAGGTACAAAACTTTGAACTCACAAAGATAAGATATGTAATAGAACATTTTCTCTAATTTTGCCAAATACAAATAGACTGGATGTTGTAACTGTAATTTTTATTTGATAACTGTTTTTGTTGTATATAATCTTACTATTTTAAAGTTAAAACCTTCCTTTTTAATTAGACAAAAAAGGGGGAATGCTGTGGAATAATCCTCTTGTACACCGTAAAGATTTGTCATTCGAACTGGTTTAATAAAATGCTGATTGGCCAGTATCCAGGCAGAAATTATAGGAGGGGTGACCAAACTAAGAATGATGGGAAGAGTGGAGCCAGGAGTCGCCAGCAGATGCAGAGGGAGCAAGATGAGAATGCCATACTGAGAAAAGGTACCAAGCCACATGGCTAAGCATAGATAAGAATTATAGGTTAATTTAAGTGTATGAGTTAGCTAGTAACAAGCCTGAGCTATTGGCCAATCATTTATATATTGAAGTCCCCACCAGTACCTGCCTGGTGGAGATTTCTTCCCAGAGTCTGGGAGAAGATGCTACAAGGAGCTGGCATCTATTCTGTGGCTCGCAGCATTTGTAATTCATATTCAGCCTCTGAGTTGGTTATTTAGGACTGGGACAAGAAACATCCGTTTACTTGGGAGCACCAAGGCTTAATGGGAGAAGCAAGGGGAAGCAAAGAAAGAACTGAAGCGGGGCTGGAGGGGTGGCTCAGAGGTTAAGAGCACTGGCTGTTCTTCTAGAGGTCCTGAGTTCAATTCCCAGCAACCACATTGTGACTCACAACCATCTGTAATGAGATCTGGTGCCTCTTCTGGCCTGCAGGGATACATGTTGCATGAATCCTAATTGGTCTTAATAAAAACCCAGAGCCCAATATCAGGGTAAAAGCTGAAAGGTCAGAGAAGCAGAGGAAGCCATAGCCATCACCTCTTAACCTACCAGCTCCTCAGCTCTGAAAGAGCATGAGTTTC